AAGTTCCAGTCGACGGTGTCAAAAGCTTTTTTAAAGTCCACAAAAATCGCCATGCCGGGAATGTTTTCTAGCTCAGTTATCTTCATGATATCATTAATGAGTCTAATGTTCTGTCCTATATAGCGGCCCTTGACATAGCCAGTTTGGTCGTCGTTTATTAATTTGGGGAGGACTTTAGCGATTCTATGGGCTATAGATTTGGTTGCTATTTTATAGTCGACGTTAAGTAACGTTAGCGGTCTCCAATGTTCCAAATACAACCTGTTCTTGCGTTTTTTCGGTATGACCTTTATTATGCCTTGTCTTTGTGTTATGTTGAGTTGTTCTACTTTATGAGCATAGTTAAAGCTTTGGACCATCTCATCACCAAGTAGATGCCAGAAGTGCAAATAGAACTCAACTGAGAGACCGTCGCTGCCCGGACATTTCTTTTACTAAAGTGTACAAGAATGCCCCAAGTGTATTTGTATCAGCGAATCACACTTCCAGTGGGGGAGGTCTGGATCCCATGCACAACTCCATAAACGCTTGGGTTGAGGTGAGTCAGAGATCTGCGTAGTTAAGGGCTGTAAAATAACTTTGAGGTGTTAGCGCCCGCGTTAGCGGCGCGGGTATTTGTGAACTAACTGAATTGTTGAACTTTTGTCATGGCAATAAACCATTTAAGGGTTGTTCCTAGGAAGGGTGCAATCGAGTCACGGCGTTCAAAATAAGTGAACCAACAGGCAGAGTGCATTTCTTAAAATACCAGCGCGGCGGAGCGCGAAGTAAGGGATTCGCGACGCTCAGGAATGTATCAAAGTTGACTTTTTTGACAAGATTGGGCACGCAAAGTCTGTAGGTTTTCGGTTTTATTTGGCTATTTGACGAAGTGAGAACCGAATTAGTTCGAGATATCTCGAGATCACTTCGATTTCTTTGATTTATTCTTTAACTTTTTCGAGGAAGAAAAGATTATTATTTTGGCTTTCCCGGGGTTTGAACCGACTCGCCTGTGTGACCCGTCAGATTAGACGATTGCGCTACTGCCACCCAGGGTAGTTCGAAATACGAAAAATAGTTATGAAATGATGCACTAGTTTCGAGAGAAGCTTGGGCGTGCAAGTTCGAGACTTTTAGGCTTGTTTCGGCTATTTCACGAAATGAGACCGGACTACTTCGTGATATCTTGAGATCACTTCGAGTTTAGTCTTTAATTTACTCGAGGAATAAATAGAGGATATTACGTGGCCACGCAGAGACACGAAATTTCTCTTCGAGTGTTGAAAAACATTTCACGAGTGAGACCTCCTTTCGAATTGTTTTATGATGAATTTAAAGTTCCAAAAGGCTGCACAAAGACATTTTGTCTTTGTTGAGTGTCACGTAGTAAAATTGCTTTCATGCGTTGCGTGACTTTCTCGAACGTTCTCTGCTTTTTTGGATTATTTATGAATAATTAATTAGGGCATGTTTACATTTCAGCATGAGTCAGTAGATTTGCATCCGTTACTGAAATCAAAAATATGTCGAAGAGCTACTACTATTCGCCTGTTTAGAATTTTCTACAACCTTATGTGAAACGGTATACAAGTTCCAAGCGAGTTCTTTTGACGATCTAAGTTTTTTCCCACGAGCTGGACTGCCGTGTTTAGTCAAGTGTGACGAAGGTCGATTTTCAAGTTCTGTGTTTACAAGTTGGCGGAGGCCTTGAGATATATGAAGTTCAAGTGAGTGTTAGTTATTATTGGCTGAGGTTGTTTAGTTGTACTTAAGTTCAAGTCAAGTTTGTGTTGGCGGATGCTGTGTTTTAAAGTTCTGTAAAGGCTATGCTTCTTTGTTATTAAACTTCCTTGAGTTAATCCGACATCCCTGCTTGCTAAAAGTCAGTGAATAATTATCCTATTGACTCCTTACCCATGCCTTCTTACATACTTTAATCAGTACATGAGACTGCTATGCTGTTTTTGAAGCCTGATGTGACTAAGAAAAATAGAGAATTCTTTTTCCACTGTCTGTTTTGTTGGACTGATTGAGCTATTTTGAAAAAATAGCTCATATGTCAGGGGTGTGAGCGTATGTATCTTTGTGGCCTTGTAACTTTGTATCTTTGTAACTTTGTATGTTCGGATGTTTGTTGCAAGAGCCAATAAGGTTGAAGGTACTATTAGTTGATGCTTAGGAACCAATGAGATCTTAGCATCTACTTAAACATGACATTGGTAAAGGTCGAACAAGGGCACTTTGAGACCGCCATTTTGATTCTTCACAATTTTTTCGTCTTTTATAACGGCTACAGGTGTTTGGAAGAATTACATTAAATATCTTCATGATTCAAACGCTGTGTACAGTGATGCAGCTGTTTAAGGGTTCATATTTTAGTGTGGATGCTGCTTCAAGGCATTTCTGACCTGATTGGGCTATCGGTACAACGCACGTCAGTATGAGTTCTGTTTCACCCGCTACAACTGGTAGAGTATAAAAGATCATATATTTTCAAAGCTCTTCCAATGAAGCAATAATTGATATTTAGATATAGACTTTAATTCGAAAGTATGCGCCCTATAAAATGTGGTTTTAGAAGTTTAAAAAGGCAGCTTATTTTTGTGAAAGCTGCACCGAGTATTGTTAATCCTGTAAACAAGCTTTAAAAATATCATTCTCTCGCTTACAAAGTTCAACAGACCTTTTTCGTTCTGGCAAAACAAAAAAAAAAGAATAATAAGTGAACAACATAATACATCCTTCCTGCATACTAAGTATTATAGTTTCTGAAACCTACTTTATTTAGTAACGATGAGTAACGTAAGTAGAAACAGTAGCGTTAGGGAATAAAATTGGAAGAAGCTAGTTGACACAAAATTAGATACTGTTGAATTGAGTGGAGTAACATGATACAAGTAGAAATATATTTCGGCAGTTTGATAATTTTCTTGGTAGTTAATAAATGTTAGGCTATCAACCTTGACGTTGCATGAAACATAATTTAATTGCAGGTGTTGTAATAAAGCCGAGGTGATTTCTTAAAATCGCTTGAGAAAATTTTGTAGTGAAACAATTTGCCTTTTTTTTTACGTACGAATTGTAAAAGGGCCAAAGACCAACATCTCCACATGCAAATTGTGTGCATGAGTTATTCCTATAATTCTGTTTACTAGATTACCGTGTGATAACTCGAATTCCCTCACGTACGAACCACGAAAGGGGGCAAAGTCCAACACTTTCACGTGCCAGCTGTGTGACTGTACATCTCATGCAGATTGGCTTTTCACAATGATAAATGGTAACTTGAACGTATGAAGACCTGTTTCGTTTTGTAACCAATGCCTTAAAAGAGGCTCTTGTCTTTTAAGAAGCAATAGCTTTTAAAACATGAAGAAATAAGTTGTCGGAGTTAAAGACTGTTTCACTGAGTAGAATCGCACGTGAAAACCTCGTGAATTATGATGATGCAACCATCTACCACAATGATAAAAATCCTGGTATTTCGTAACTATTCAGTATTCGATGAGTCACATTTTGGCTTAAGAAACTCCGCGGAAACCTTAGAGTTTTCCTTCTAATCAACGTTTGGTGAGTAGAAATTTATTTTACATATACTTCAACAATTTGTTTAACTTGCACCAGATGTAACAGGAAAAGACAGAGGAAAGTGAATATATAGGTTGAGGATCGACTCAGCTTAGCGTTTCGCGTTTTCATTTATGTAGCGCAATACCCAATTTCGCACAAAAACCAAATCTACATTTAGGATGAAAAAGGTAGATTTATCACTCTTGGTAAGGTTACGCCGAAGTATTATAGTTACACTGAAGTATTCAAAATAGCTCATGCACGTTTAACGTGCCTATGTTTATTCACTGTCAGTAACCTCATATTTGACCTACAGTCCCAGACAAAAATAGTTGGGACACTTAACGCAAACCCCTTTTTTTCCTTTCCTGTGCTTCCCTTTTCCCTCCCAATGTTGTTTATTGCGATTCAGTCGGCAAATCGTGTACACCAACATTGAGAGGAGAAGAAGACACAAAAACGTCCCAACAATTTTGACTGCGACTGTGTTTTAGAGGAATTTTGGGAATGTGACTACTTGATGGGTGTACTGGCGGGAAATCATGAGGGATATGTACATATGTGTAGCACTGTTTCGCGCACTGCAAAAAAGACATTTAACGGTAGAACACAATCAGAGCATGAAATAAAGTGTCTTTATTTTATTACAAGCCATATTTCGAGATTTTCATGGGAAAAATATTTGCAGTGTAGAAAGTTTTTCAGGTATGCTGAACTCGTGTCTTGAAATGTTGTCATGATTGGCAAAAAGGGCCAAAAAGTACATCTTCCTGCTCCGAAAACGCACTTCTCTCAGGACATCGAGTTTACCCATGATACTCCGATTGTTTGTACTAGTAAAGAGGAACTCAGTTTAGTGCGCGGCAGAGTACTTGACGAGAGGGAATCGCAGATGATGAGAGTTCGTTGGAAGGTTTTCGCCCTACAGAGCCCAATTCCCGAGGAAGAGCAACGAATTACTCCTAACAGCCCCAATTGTTTTGCCAAACTGATCTTCCCGCAAATCTAGTGAAGGGATGGTGACATGTTTATCGGGTCACCATCACGGGTCACCGTACTTTACCGGGCCTTTACTATCACCTGTTCAGTAAAAACAATTGAATCAAAAAGTCAAAGACAAGTGTGTTTCACACAAAAATGAAAATGCCCGTATTCAGCGCTGTTTGATACACACAAGAAAATTTATGTACATTTGGAGCATGGTGACACAGTTTTTCGGTTTAAAAAGAAACATGCTATTTTGTTAATTACATTAAAGTACGGTGACCCGTGTACACTCTAGTGCACCGCCTGTTTTTGGCATTAGCAGGGCAGATTTTCTCGTCTTTTCCGATGAGTCATCAGTTTTACGGATTTTCCCTCTTTTATGGCAGATTTTTGGTGTTGTATGACTATTTCATTCCGTGTATATTTGCTCATAAGTTTGACAACCGATGTCACCATTTGGTGTTAAGCCAAAATACTGTGTAAACACAACATCTCGAAACTTTGCGATTTAACACCTGCTCTTTTGTGTAGCTATGATCTTGAGAACTTTCTTGGTGTTTGACGCTTTAAAAGGAAAAAAAAAAAACATTTTCATCAGCTCGAAGAAAATGGTACATAACTGATGTTTTTGGGATAGTAGAGCAACTTGAACACATGATTGGTATATTTATTCATATTGAAGCACACGCGTACCATGTCTGTTGTGTTTACTTAAGAATTTATAATGTCAAGAGCGTTGACAAGTGATACAGTTTAGTTTATTGTCCCTCACATAAGAAGTTTCCCCTTTCAGTTAGAACTATACTGTTAGTACAGCAAGGAAAATATTGTTTAATACATTTGTAACATTCAATATTTTATTCGCCCTCCCTTTACAGCAATAAGCTTTAAAATACGGCGACGACATAGAGGAAATAAACTTATTAATAGTCCCTATTGGTATGGAATAAAAGGTGTTAATAACTCGTTCCTCGAACTCACTATACGACTCCCTCGTTATTTGGCGTTCAGTGGCCTGTTTCTCTAGTTTACACAGGGAAAGATTTTCATGGCAAAGAACGTCAGCACATCGCGCTGGAAACTTTAGTAAATTTGCACGGGTTCTCCTCAGGGCTGCTTTAGCCAACACGGAATTCTGACATGGACAATTGTCTTGTACAAATAAGTTGTCTCCCCCCTTATCTGTCTGCAGAAACATTCCCGGGAAATATTCATCGATAAAATTGGCAAATAAACGGCCAGTCATTTTCCTGTATGGATAACAAGCAATTATACCCTTATCGTAAGATATAGCTACTATAAGTCTCACATATCTTCCGCCCGTTCCTTCTTTCTTGCCTTTTGCCAAGCAGCCAGTTGTAAGACCTTCGCCACGTTTTCGCCATATTCGTGCCTTGGGAGCCAAAGCCTGATCCAATGGATTTCTCTTGTACACATAAGACACACAATCCAGATAGAAAGCGATTCGTTTAGTCCAGACGTCGGCTCCATAGTCTTTTCTCATTCGTCGCGCAAACTGTAGCCTTTTCTTCATATCTGTGACTGTTAGAACACCCTTTTCACGCGCTGGAAGATAATAGTACCCTTGCGAATTCAGAAAGCGAGACACTGTTCTAACTGATACATCTTTGACAGAAATACCGGCTTCTTGCATTATTCTTCGACACGAAAAATTGCCCTCTTTCTCTCGAAATCCTTGAATGGCTCGCACCAACTGCCTCCCGTCTCTTGCGCGTAATTTCACAGGTCGTCCCCGTCGTATGTGTTCCTTACAGTCTTTGTTACCGAGAACGCTTTCTTTTTTGATTCTCCACACGCTTATTGCGATTCAGTCGGCAAATCGTGTACACCAACATTGAGAGGAGAAGAAGACACAAAAACGTTCCAACAATTTTGACTGCGACTGTAGGTCTAAACGTTTACACCCAAGTCAAATTTAGAAGGATTTGTATGGAGTCATCAGAGCATAACCGGGCTAGTATCTCACAGACAATTTGTCCCGGAAAGCTAGTTTTTGGTAAGTAGGCCTCTTGGATATTGCTCTTTTCAGAATATCCTGACAAATCCCATACTTTCACAAATTGACATCTTACTCTTACCATATTTAATTTCTTACTATTCCTTCGCATTTACTTACATTTATTTACATTTAATGCACTCTTATCGTCACATATCTCATTTTTTCAGTATATCAACACAACAGGAGCTCGAGTGTGTTTAAAAGAGTTGTACGAGTCAAAGTACGACCCTCTCTCAGTATCATATACTGTCTTGTCAGGTAAGAACGGGTTTATGAAATTCTCGTTTAAGAAACATAGATTTTACTGATTGATCACAACTAATTCATTGTGAATGCGTACAGAGATAACTTAAACGAGGGTCATTTCATTAAAAGAAGGCGATCATTTTGAATATTAGTGCTGGAAGTCGTTCAGTTTTTTTGCTACTGATTATCCTATTTAATCAGTAGATAAGCAAGACAAAAAAAAAATGAATAACGGGTTTCTAGATGCTCTCAATTTTGCGTCGTTAGTTTTATTTTCCTCTTTCCCTTCTGATGAGCGGATCGGCCGCACAAACAGTTGGGATGATGTTTGTGAAGCTGCTTCGTGCCCAGTCGGTCGCGATGCTTGGTCCCATTTCTTGGGCTTCGCAATTGTTCCGTTCTCCCCACTAAGCCTTTTGAAAGCCTTTGCAGGAGGCAGTCTGTGAGGGAACAATTAGCAAAGGTGTGGGGATTTCTAAACTGCACAGTCGTTTTATTTCTTTATCACAGATATTTGCAAGCCAGGATGGAGTTATTTTGGTGGCTACTGTTACTTCACAAGTTGTGCATGCGCCCGGTGGCTGACCGCTGAATCAAACTGTTCTGCGATGAGTTCCAATTTGGTAACGGTTCACAATCAAGAAGAAAATGTCTACATTCAACACCGTCACAACGGAGAGAGATCTTGGATTGGACTCAATGACCGAAGTGTGGAGGGCTCCTTTGTGTGGTCAAACAAAGAAATAAGCAAATTTAGGTTCTGGGCCCCACAGCAACCGAACGACTGGAAAAACCAAGACTGTGTCCACACTCTTGGAGCCAAGCATGGTTACACTTGGAATGATGTGTCTTGTCATAACTGCTATAACTACACCTGTTTTAAAGGTACAAGGCATAACTACAAGATTTATATCTATGTTAATTGCTTTGAGCCAGATAAAGGGGGTAATTTCATTTATCCCATGATGCATCGCTTCATATTATATTATCAACCTTCCGAACGCACGTGATGCTATCAGTTCAACAAGGATGTGACAGTTGAACAGCAGTGGAAAGCGACTTGTTTTGCCGATAAAACTTTCTGTACCTTTGCTGTGTCGATCTATTTACGATTTTGGTTTTACTATTCCAACTATATCCGCACTTGTTAAGTGAAAGAGAGTGTTTTGGCCGCCGACTATGAGTTAACTAGCCTTACGATAGCAAGGCAGTCCACGCAAATGTTCCTAGAAGCTAGCGAGGAAGGTCTTTGCTTCAGTACGTCCTGTTTTAACGTGCGTTGATAAAGTTCTCCATGAATTAACAAGTGATTTCCACGTACTTGTGATGAAATAAATACATATTCAAGGTGTGAGATTTCCCTTCGTTGCTTGTTTGTGATCGCGGTGCCCAACCGTACGGTGACCGCACATGCTTTTACTTCAACAAGCTCGGCTTATGCAGTCGAAAATACCGAGACCCTTAAAGTACAAAGTGATGTCTATCGAAGATAAAATTCAAAGGAGTGGAACAGCTCCAACAAATAACAAAGACATCTCTATATTTTTCGTAACGCAACACCAGCATCATTAGCAAATAAGCATTAAGCATTAAGCATCATTATCAAACATAAACAGAAAAAAGCTTTATAAAGAAATGGCAAAATACATATACAAAGACGCCCACTTCTTCGCTACAATGGATCGATCCTAAAAGAATTATCAAAATGTCTTTAAAGGTTTTATACGCCAGTTGAGGTCCTACGGCATGCTATTCCATGAAAATTGCTGGCCTGTATATTTCAAGTTCGCCACGCGCGGTTGCGACCGGAAGCCACCATTAGAAACCAATTTTACCTAAAATAATGAGACAAAAAAGCTTTAATACTATAACCCATTGAAGTAAACTTTCATCATACCCTCAAGAGATAATATTTGTGTTTTGATCAGCGAAAAAGGAGCGACTTCAAGAAAAAATGTCTCATCTTCGCAGGACTTAGCATAAAGAAATTGAAACCTTCGTCTTGCACATTAGCGGAGAAAGGGCAGAAAAAGCGATATTTCAAAACGATCAAACCCATAAAAATCGCGAGGTCGAAAGAGGTCGGAGCGTGGAACTAGTATCAAGCACCCCTTGTCCGCCGATTTAAATAATTGATTAGGGCAAAACGTTGCTAGAATAAAGACAGTTTTCGATAATTGAAAGTCATCTAAATAAATATTCACTTGCGAGTTAAAGTAGCATGGCTTAACAGGGTCGTAAACGAGAGCAATAATGCTTGAAATGACCATGGAAACATTTTACATTATCAATCAGATGCCAAAGATTAACAGGGCTCATTGAAACTTACCTTTGATGAGGTGCATCTTGAAATTCAGGTCATTGAAAATCTCCCTCGAAACCCTCGAACGCTCTTTCCACCGCGGAGAGAAGACAGAAATTAGCCGCGAAGCATCATGGGATATATGAAATTCCCCGCTTTGAGCCAGATAGTGCTTCTAGACATTTTTAAAACTGCATTTATAGGTCGTAGCAAATACAGAATGCAGTTTTAAAAATGTCTAGAAGCACTATCTGGCTCATGACAATTAACATAGATATAAATCTTGCAGCGATGCCTTGTACCTTTAAAACATAATGGAAGACTAATAACACCCATCAGACTAACTGAAGTCAGAGTACTTTCAGTATTGTAAACATTGGGGACTACCATACCAGTGTCCATATACCGAAACATGGCCGAAAAGCCTGAAATCGGTATCACAAATTGATTTAAAGAAATATTGGGAGTCGAATTTACATTCCACCATTTTATCCGGGAAAACGTTCCGTTGGCGTTCGGCGGATATTTTTTACTGGAACAACGGGAAATGTCGAGCTGACCTCTATTTTCTTTTCAAGACACTCTTTTGCAGATGTTTAACGACCCTTTTCCCATGTCCCTTCCTTCACATATTTTATTTTCCCTTGCTGGTGCGTGTTGATTACTCAACTACACTACAGTAAATACAACTGTACTTTTTAAACAAGCTTCACTGACTAAAAAGTCATTTAATTTCTACGAGACGTCTCTGTGTGCCTTCTTTTTTAGACTTGGATGAATGTACCACTGGTTCCCATTCCTGTGGCGTCAATTCCGTGTGCCAGAATACCGTGGGTTCATACACATGCTCGTGTAATGCTGGGTACACAGGAGATGGAAAACCTTGCAATTAA